AGCCACTGAACGGATGGATCGTTAATAACCTTCCCGGACCCTAAAGGCTCCGGAGCTTGAGGCCTAATAGGTGTCCATCTTAACCCTTGTGGAAATTCTAAGTCCCAATCCACCCTCGAACGAATATCGAAGTCCTATCAACCCTCGGTCAAGAAGCCTAGAACACCGAGAAAGAACCCCATTGGAGTTGACAGAACAGGGGCCAGACTCCCGCCCAGAGGATGCTAAGCTAGCCTTTCACGGACCAGGACGGCTCCCAATAGGGGCCTCCGTCCCGACCAGAAGACAAAAATTCATCGGAGCCGGACTCGGACTCGAGCCCAGAGCCTTAACCTCAGACACCGAGGTTACCCTCACCCTACCCAACCTCGGAGGGTCGGTGATACCCCTCTTTACGTTGCCCAGTAGGCGACGGGAGAGCGACGGGAGACGAAAATAAGGGTTTCGCCTGGATGAAACATAGGAAATCCGACCCACCAGACTGCCCAACCCCGGACATGAACGGATCCCCCGGATTGACCCGGCAAATACGGGTGCAGCCGTCGGAATTTCAGTGCTCGCACCGTACCGGTATGTCTTCCGCGGTTTCCCCCGGCCAGCATCCGCCAGAATGCTCGGATCCTCCGGCATCAACAACCTTCGCACCGCAGACCGCGGTCTCCAACCACGACTTGCCACCATTTTGGCCCAGAACGGAGCCTTCACCCTAGCCAAGGCAGGTCGCCACTAACCACGATCTGAAGGCAGGGCTCCTTACGGACTTCAACTTGCCAGCCAAAGCCTCAGGGCCGCCAGTGGACTTTAACTCGGCAGCCGGGGTTACAAGGCTGTAGTTGGACTTTAACTCAGCAACCCCCTGGCATCCCTCGGATTAGACCCTCGAAGCCCAGTCTTATCCGGTCTACGTTGCCCAACAGGCGACTGGACACGGAATTGACGGGTTTGCCCGGACGAAAGACCTCGAAACTTGAAAAACTGGCCGACTGCAAGGGCTCGGACTGGGACTTTACCTCAGCAACCGAGGCTGCGGTCGAACTCAACCCATAACTTTGGCGGAATCTATGATACGAAAAGCGACGGGACGGTGCTGCGCGGCGCGATTCGCTTCGCTCCACCGGCCTGTCCCTCCGGCAGAAGGACCCTTGGAGGATGCAAGCCACCGCAGATCGCGTATAACCACGATCTCTACCTTACCGTGGACCCTATCCATAGGTTTGGACCCTATCCAGAGGCATTGACCCTCTCCATGTTACCCAATAGGTGACGGGAGATTTTAAAAAGGGTTTCTGCCCGGGCAAAAAGCCTCGAGGCCAGCCTTAGCGGATGCTGACTACTTCACCACCGAGGCTGCCCCGGATAGCGACTTCATCTTATCGGTGAAGACGCTCGGTAGAGTTGTCCAATAGGCGACCTACACCGCGAATAAGGGTTTTGCTGAAATGGAATGACCATCGGACTGTCAACCGCCAGTAACCAGGGCTCGGAACCTTTGACCCTTGGATCGAACCTCCGACCCTCGAGGATCGACCCTCGAGGATCGACCCTTGGACCCTCGAGTACCGAGGCTGCCTCGACTCTTCGAACCCCCGGCGATCATCCTCTCCGAGTTACCCAATAGGTGACGGGAGACGAACTTAGGATTTTCAGCCGAGCGGAACATCACCACACCCATTTGCCAGTGCAGCCGAGGATACAACCCGGACTCTAACTCGAGTACCGAGGCTGCCAAAGGACCTAGACTCAGCAACCGAGGCTGGGCGTGGACTCTGATTCTGCAACCGGAGCTGACCTGACCCTAGGTCACCGAGGCTACCATCGGACTTCACAACCTTGAAGTCAACCGGATACAGGGTCGGACTCCCGCACAAAGACCATACCATCATTCGGACCGGAATGGAGACCAGGCATTAACCGGTCCTTGTTGCCCAATAGGCGACCGGACACAACATTACGGTTTGCCCGGATCAAAACCTCGGATCACCGGACTTCCCCGGAGGATCCACCGATCAATAGACCCAATAGGTCTTATCCTGCACTCAGAGAGGGTACCTTACGGTATTCGCGACTGCGACAGTGCCTCTCCATCAACTCTACCCGATGAACCTCGGTTGGACGTAAGCACGACCTGTCTTACACGGCTGCGAAGGTTCCAATCAAGCCTTTATCGGAGGATCCCGGTCGGAAAGTGTGTTTCAGGCCCGTTTCGCACCCGACAATGGAGATCCATACCCTTTACCCGAAGTCAATAGGGTCGAACCTCTGACCCTCGAGGGTCGAGCCCCCGACCCTCGGTGAATCGAACCGGTAACATCGGGTATCCCGAGAACCGATGCCTCGGACCTGGATGACCGGACACCTTGAGGACAGGAGACCCCGAAAACGGACGTCTTCCTTGTCGGAATGAGCACCCGGACCAAAGCCCCGGACCAAAGACTTTAATTTTGTTTTTCTGTTTTTCTAACTAAGAAATAATGTTTTATTAAGAGAGAGAGAGATTGATGTTCATTTTTACTTTCATTTTTCTTGCCGTTACGGATGTTCATCAACAGAAGCCTACACCGGTCCAACAAGAAACCCGACCGACCTTCGGATTTCTGCCGTGAGTTGTTTCGCCACCACGGGTCCGGAGGAGAACGCGGCACCGAGAGACCTTCATCGGACATCACCGAGGCGCAGCCACCGACCCCAATAGGGTCGAGTGCGGAGCGGGCACTGGAGCGGTATGAGGCCGGTCCTTCGCAGGGGCTCGGACTCCCGCCCAGAGGCATGTTGGGCCAATAGTGCTATGGCAGCCTACGAGTAGGCAGCCAGCGACAGTCCACTCTCCGGTGTGCTGACTCACCGAGTCGCACTCGCTCTCGTACGCCGTATCGGCCTCGACTCTGGCTCGGCTACGCCTTACCACGCCTTCGGCTATACGTCTCGGCCAATCAGCGTTCGTTTGCTCGTGTTGGATCAGCCCAGTGCCGCAGATAGGCATTTTCCATGTTACGGCTCATTCAGCCGATCATTCCAGTTTAGTCATGATTTTGCTCACGCACAGTGCTGTACTTTATTGCTATCACACAATAAAGCCTATTTCCTCACTATCGTGAGCCTCTGTTCGCCAGCTGTCACAACATGCGGCGCAGAAAGCTGCTTACGCATTATTCCAATATGCAGGCACTGTTTCCACAATCCCGCCGCGATCATGATGAACGTAGAGTGATAAAGTTAAACCAAAAAAATAAGTATTTTTTCCAATATTGTACAAATGTTTATTGAATTAAGGATTGTATCCAGTAATTAAAATTTTCCCTGTTTTTTGCTGAATCAAACGAATCAAACTGTACAAATGGCGGAATACTACATAATTTAACAAAATCGCTGAAGCTACTGACTGCGTATATCCAGTGGCGCGCCTGGTTTATATACAATTTTTCCGGGTTAAACTGTGAATTTTCCATTACATGCCGGCACGCTTACCGGCGATGTGAATCCAGAGTGTTTATTTATGTTGTCGATGAGTGTATTGTTATGGTTTCCCGAAATATATACGGCGCTTTGTCACGCGCACATTTTCTCCGTATTACGAACGCCCATTGTCAGCATTTTGCGGCGGCGTTCCAAAAATCAAGGGGATGCGGATCTGCTGTCGCAAACGACAACACCGGTCAGCATTTTTAAAGGCGGTGGCGCAGCACAACAAAACGCTGTAGAAGAATACCGGTGTTGTTTAATCTCAATTATTTGGAAACCGCGTTTGTGTCAATCACCGGTTCATAGAACACGCAGGTTATTAACCAACAAGAAATTTCTATACTTTTGGCTAACAGGCAAAAAACAGGGAGAATGACCGCGTGATACAGCAGTTTATCGTTTTCCTGTCGGCCAAGTTAATTATAAAATTAATTCTATCAGAATTAATTTATTGATCCTTGTTAAATAAGAACCGGTAAATAATTAAAAAAAAAGCTAATCAAAGTAAAACTCCAATAAAAATCGAAGTTAACGACTGTGGTCACAAAACTATAAATTAAATTATATAAGAATAGGAAAAAGCCGTCGATTTACGGCGACGTTGAAAATTCAACGCGCGGTACAAAACACAGCCGGTGCGGCTGCGTGTCGGCCGTGATGCCGGACGTCGGCGTCAGGTCGATGTCGGCGGGGGCCACGCCCTCCGGCAGCCGAATCTCGAAGCGCTGCACGATTCCGCAGAATAGGATGAACAGTTCGGCACGGGCCAACGCTTCACCCAAACACCGCCGCTTTCCTGAAAAATAAATACGAAAAATAATAATAAATTAAAATTATTAAAATCGATTATTTTAAGAATTTACTGTAAGTAAAAATAAAATAAATAATTATAAATATAACTAAAATTATAAAAAATAATTATAATAATAAAATTATGGAATTTATTTCTGATTATTACAATAAATCTAAAGAAAATGCTAAAAAATTTCCCATCGGCAGACTATCGTGGGAAACAGCCGGGTACCTAGTCCAAACGGCATCAGATACTCCGACGTCTGCACTTGGCCGTCTTTTAAGAAACGTTCCGGGCGGAACCGCTCCGGCTCCTCCCACCACGCGTCATTATGATGGGCAAAGTAGATATTGGCTTGGACAATCGATCCTGCCATTAGAAACAGATATGAAAAATAATAATAACAAAATAAAATGAATAAATCTAAAAAGTCATAAAGGTCACAGTTTGGGATACCTTTCGGGACGTCGTATCCCTCGATCTGGATGTCCTCGCGAGCGCAATGGTCCACGCCCATGGGGACGACGCTGGCGTAGCGGTGTACCTCCATGAGGGTGGCTTCGACGTAGGGCGTGTCCAGTTTTTCGGAGGGCGTGGCGAATTCCACGCCGGCGGCGTTAAAGTGCCGGTCCAGTTCGGACTGAACGCGTTCCTGGATGTCCGGATGCAGCGCCATCATTAACAAAGCCTTCGCCACAGAAATTTATAAAGGTCATGGGTTGCTTAATAATTAATTTCTGCCCATTACCCAGCGCAGCGTCGTGGTGGTCGTCTCGAAACCGGCTTCGAAGAGGTCTTCCAACAGCAGCGGGATTTCTGTCGCTAGAAATTCCAGTCTGTTAAATTTATTTTTCGGTTTCATTTTTAAGAACGCCGAGTATATTTATTTTAGTTTAAAATCCACAAGTTTAATTGCATTTTTCTTGGTTCTTGCGCTTTAGTTTTCACATGTATTGATCTCTAGTTCCAAGAATTGGATTAATTTCGATTCACCGTCTAATCTTTCCACGCGAAATTTCCGTTTACAATATAATTTATGTAAAAATTTTCGTTAAACCAAAAAGTGTAAATTTATGGTTAAAAATCTAAATTTGTTATACTAGCTCTGTACTTGTAGTTCTAGTTTCTAAAATAAAATAAAATTTTTTTATTTAAATTTTAACTGCAGTACGTACTGATTACTGAAAATAGTTTTAGTGATGGTTTTACTGCTTAATGTGGAATATTGTCCGCTTTTCACCGCCGAAATATAACTCTCCAGAAAATCAGAATTCCGATCGGGCACAAAATTCTCAAGATGCTCCTTCATCGGTCGACTGAAGAACGCATTCAACCCGTGCAAAATCTCCATAAATCGGCGGTATGTCTGCCGAATGGGCGGCACATGCTGCAGCCACGGCATCACAATCAGGATAATCTTTTTCATGGTGAACTCGAAATTCTCCTTGGTGTACTGCAGGAGCAGGCGCAGTTGGGGGTCGTCCATCCCGTATCGGGCGCCGGTGAGGACGCTGGCGATGACGTTGGCCACGCTGATGCTCAGCGGCACCTTCGTCTCCAACGGCCGTCCCTCCTGCGCCTTCAGAAAGGTCACCAACGCCCCGGCCTCCGCCACGATCTTCTCCTCCATCCGGAACTTGCCCACGCCGAAATCGCGGAACGTCTGCAGGATGAAACGCCGGTGCTCCTTCCACATTTCGCCGTCAGCGAAAACCACGCCTGAAAATATATTTTTTTATTTATTTTGATATGATATTGATTTTTATAATTTTTTTATGTTTATTTTTTTCTGTGTAATTTTTTCAATTACTTTTTTTAGTTACCATCAGCAGTCGCCATAATATTGTCATACATGATTTCCAAGAAAATAATTTACTCGTACTTATTAATTTTACGCGTATGCTTATCAGTTACTCGTGAACTTTCCAATTCTTACGTATCTCTTCGGCTTTTTTTCATACGACTTAATTACTTTCTTCATATCTGTTTAACCATTTAAATCCGAGTCTTGCTTTATACGAAAAATTCACAACTGCTTTTCAATGTTCGGCTGCAACGCGTACAGTCCCCTGTAGGGGAAAATCACCGGTCCGGCCTAACCCGTAACGCAGTGCGCTCCCGGGAAATACAGTGCAAATTCCATCGGTGCGGCTAAATTTTAATTTGCTAATTTTCGCAGTAATTCGTAAGGGTATTTTTCAGTAATGCGATACCGTATTAGCAACGCCTGCCGGCAGAAATTCTATTTGTACCGGGACTACTGACGGACCGTGGCGAATTTATACTGGCCAATGGGTCCGTGTTTTAACTGCAGAGTTAAACTGCCTTCAAGCGAGTGGTCAGTGTGAAATCCGTACGCGGTGTAAAAGCGGGTTGCATGTTGCACGTCTTGTTTTTGTGTTGCGTTGTTATATGCACTGTGTACAGGGCATAGGAATAGGTAGCATAGGGACACACACAAATAAACAACTAGGTAATTTGGCATAACGCGAGTAGCCCTCCACTGGCGGCGCCAAATCAATCAAAGAAAGGAGATATTGATGCAATTAAATTCCTGTTTTTCCTTTGGTTCTTTTTATGGAAATTTTTTTAAAGCTCATGCTGCGAAATTCAGTGAGCTAAGTTTTTACTATAAAAACTCTTAATTTGTGTTTGACAAGAACGTTTAGCACAAGGTGACCGAAATAGGAAATCGTATACGTGAAGTGACCGAACTACGAGAAAAACCGAAGTGTAAGTTATGAAATGTTAACTTTTCTTTATAATAATCTAGAATCTTAAGGGAAGTGGGCCGGTACATGGTACCGAATTCGTGTACATGCACGAAAACTTACAATTTCGCGCACTCCCAAACACATTTTTGTTTCGGTTTATGACGTTTTGTAGCCAGAAGATTTGTATACACGGGCGTGAAAACCGTTTGTGCGCGCAACATCCGGTTCGGGAGTTATGGCTGTTAGAAAATTCCCAAAAGTTTAAATGCGTTCAGGTGTACCAAAGGTCTCATTATGGACCGATCTCCCTCAAATTTTGCACGTAAATGCACATAACCACGAAGAACGTTTTTACACCATCCACTGTTCTAGCATGTTTTTCAAATTTTAAAATGAATTTCAAAAATTTTAAAATTCATTTAAAAATTTGAAAAAAATCATGGAAGTCTGGATCGGTGTAAAAACGATCTTTATGGACATGCGCTTTTACCTGCAAAATTTGAGAGAGATCGGTCTATAATGAGACTTCTGGTACACCTGAACGCATTTAACTTTTTGGAATTTTGCAGCAGCCATAACTCCCGAACCGGATGTTACACGCACATACGGTTTTCACGCCACTGTATACAATTCTTCTGGCTACAAAACGTCATAAGCCGAAACAAAAAATTTGTTTGGAAGTGCGCGAAAGCGTAAGTTTTCTTGCATGTACATGAATTTGGTACCATGTACCGGCCAACTTCCCATAAGTGTTTTCATATACACGTGTATTTTACTTTATTACCGGTGGCGCCCCGGTTGACGCGGTTGCGTTGGTGAATGGGCCATAGAATGGGCCGCGGCAGGAGGACATCGCGGCTGAAGGCCTCCTTAATAATCCGCGGATCGTTCAGCTGGATGGTCTGCACCGGGCCGATCTGCCGGCGCACCACATTCCCGTACTTCTTAGCGTTGTCGTAATGCTGCCGCTGGAATGCCGTGAAACGCACCGTCAACAGGGAGCCCAGCAGCGGCAGACATAGCGGTCCGGGTGGCAGATTATACCGGGATAAAGTGATGTACCATTTGGCGATGTAGTATAAGAGAAGAAGAGCGGCGCTGGCCGCTGCGAAACCGACGGTTTCCAGAAACATTTTGCCAGCGGATTCGATTAATAGTTATGCCAGCCCGCAAAAACTCAGCATTGCGCCGAACACTTAGCTTCTGCTGATAACAACTGATTATCACATATTGACTGATAAGATAAATAAAACCGATAACGAGTGAATAATTACATAATATTTGTAATAGTTATTCGGCTACCGGAAAGTGTGCGCCACGGTCATGACCTTTAGCCACCCGCCCCCTTCCGCGAAATCCTTTATAAAAGCTTCTTGTTTGCAAATCCTATTATAAAAACATAATTTGACGAAAATGACTGGTCCGCATATTTCAGCTCGCATGTTGTTCCGTAGTTTCCCTTAATGACAGCCAAATTAAAACGTTGCTTCATAAAAGCAGTAGAACGCGCTTCTCCAGCTAATTCACGAGTATTACGGCCCATAAAATGTACAAATTCACTTGAAGCTGGGCCGAAATACCAAACATTACATGTATTAACATGTTTCTGAAAGCTAACCATTACAAAGTACAGAGTACAAACAGCTCATTTGATCAGTATTACTTTTCGAAATGTAAGAGCTTAAAACTTGCCATTAATTTTATGGATCCAGACTGGATCCATACAATAAATGGCAAAGTTTTAAGCTCTTACATTACCTGGATCTTCCAGGAAATGTGTAGTTTAATTTTCTTTATTTCTCTCTAGTTTTTTTGTTCCTGAGATTACGGGGTTGTTATACTAATATAGATCCTGTTCCTTGAAATGCTTCACTTGATGCAAATTACTAGGTAACTGCCTAGTTCTTTGTGCTTACGTTTAGATTACTTATAAGCCCAAAAAACCTTTCAATTACGGTTGCTTGGCTGTTAATGAATTTTGTTAGCTGGCTGCTGTAAGCATGTTAGTACAGTACTTACCGTGAAACGTGAAAACTGAGTACTTAATACTGCCACTGCAAGTCTGCTACTGCGGGTCGCTGACGACTTATTAAGCAAAATAATTATAAAAATATAATAATAACACTACTTATTATAGTACATAATAACAGTACATTCAGGATAATCCTGCTATACGAGCGACGATGTCTGCGCGCTGAGGGATGACGAGACGCAGTGTTTATCGGCGGCCAAGTGCATGCGGCTCATGGTGTTTGCTGCTGCAGTTGTACGTGTCGACAGGATGTCTGCCACCACCTCAAAGGTCGTCGTCAGTCAACCGTGAGTAGCGAGTACGAAACGGAAAAGAACCGCTATCCGTGTGATGGTTGCGAGTATTCCGATATGTACTCCCTTCGGACTACGTTTCATTATCCATAACTGCATTGGCGCAGAACGCTCAGCTGCGTTAGTAGCCTTTCGAGCACCAGTATGTTCTGCCAACCATGCGACGATGCCGTGGCCACCGTATTACAGGACGCCTGATTTTAGACGTCCTGTATTATACAGCTGTACCAAAAACCTCGTAATGGACCGATGTTCTTTTAATTGTGCTGAAAAGGTCAGGTACATATAAAGATGGTTTTGACTATGGAACCAGAATTTCCGACATTTTTTTCAAATTCAAAAAGCATGTCAGAAAGTTACCCTAGTTCCGCGTCGAAAACAATCTTTATATGCATGCATGTGTCTTTTCAGCAAATTTTGAAGAAGATAAGCCCATAACACGACTTTTGGTACACCCGAATGCATTTAAACCGTTTGGAATTCATTTCACCCATAAGTTAACAACCGGATCTTGCACGAACAAACAATTTCCCCGTCCATGTACACAAATCATTCGGCTATACCAGTGTCGTAAAACAATGCAGAAAGTGTTTGGGAGTGTGTGAAAGTAAACGTATGTACATGTGCACGAATTTGGCAGTATGTAGTCGGATTACTTCCCTTAAGCTTAAGAATTAAACTGGCTGACTGATTAGTGAACGACTCGCTGGCGGAAGCCATGCTGCACAACCGACAGGACGATCGCATCATACTGCCGCGCCTGGCCCCGAGCGACATCGTGGCGGGCAGCGCGGTGTTCCGGCCGCGACTCGGCGAGGACGCGGCGTTCCACTGCCGCGTTCCGACCGGCGTTGACTGGCGCGATGTGATGTGGCTGCACCAGGACCGGGTCGTCTTCGAAGCCGGAGAACCGCTGCGGGATACGGACCAGACATGGTCAGTTATAACTTAAACTCTATAACTTAACGCGAGTTATTTGCGAGTTTTTGAGTTTTAACATAACTCGGAAGCGTAACTCGCTACCCAAAAAACTTACCTCTAACGTAACTCGCCGGAAATTTGTATATATTGTCTATGGTAGCGTAACTCGCGGTATAACTCAGCACCCGGTTTTACTTGCATGAATAGCGTAACTCGCATACCCCGTGTAACTCGTAACTCTAACGGTGGGTGTATTTTCCATAACTGCCCAGGTCGGATACGGACACCGCGGGACAGGCCTACACTTTCGGCCGCGTTAACGACACCCTGATCTTCGTCGTCCGCAACGTCACCCTGCGCTCCGGCGGCCTCGTGAAGTGCGTTGACGGGCACGCCGGCCCGTACACGCCCCACCGTCGCATCCTGCAGCGTTTTCAATTGCTGCCACTGATCACCCACCGCCGCGACGTCTTCACCGCGCCCGACGCGGACTACGTGAGCGCCGTCGAGGGTCAGCGCGCCACGGTGTCCTGTGATATCCGGCTGCCCCTCCCGCACGGCGTCCTCACGAATCTAGAGAACCATCTGATGTGGGTCCACCACGGCCGCATCGTCAGCGGTCCCTGGGAGGCGCCATACGGGCTCCCGCGGCCCGCTAAAGGACCACCGCGTGACCTTTACTCCGGCGTGGAAAGTGGCACCAACCACTCCGGACAGCTGGCCGTGGTACAAGCTAGATTGAATTTTGCTTCCGTTACACAAGCGGATGGAGGATTTGTGCAGTGCTTGTTCCGGCCGCATCAAGGCGTACATGAGTGGGTCATGCAGACGACGACGCTGCTGGTTTATCCCAAACTGAACCCGAAATGGTTTCATTGACTGTTTGGCACTGCACGATGCCAGCGCATACCGCTGTTTACACTGGTCGAACTCAATCATCCGCCGAATAAGGGACAAATTATCCAAATGACTATTGTTTCATCAGGCTTTCCGGTTTAACCGGAAAGATTGAAGGCTGTCCGCTTTCCTACTTGTTTAGAATATTGTCGTAGCTGGCCTTGTTGGGGTATTACATTTGAAATATTTCTCGAAAGCTATTTTATTGCTACACGAAAAATATTTTGTAATTTTTTTCATTCTTCCATACGTCAAAAACAACAGTGGTCGCGCGTTAGCGCGACCGGTACTTGCAATATAATACGAGTAATTACAGTTATACAATCCTACCACTTGCGCCGTATTTTCTTTTGTACTCGTATCTATACTTTGAATTAGGATAGAATTATGGACTTACGAGTTACGACAGCCAGGTTTACTATTATCGGTGTAATTACCACAATTCAAATCATTACAAATGTAGGTATACGAAACAGCAATGAATTACGGGCTTTGGACATCTAATGGACGGTATTCTCGAAAGTATCTGTATGAAAGCTGCAAGTCGTAAGAAAATGTTGCACAACGAAAAATTTGCTTTAGACTCGTAGACTGATATTGTAAGAAGGAGGGGCACAATGCTTTAAATTAATTTTTTGTGAACGGTAAAGCCGCTTAACAAAGACGTGCGCCCGAGCGGCATCGCGTTGGTACTTTCCCCGCCCGGTTAGTTGATAACTTGAGGCCTTCTAAACATCAAACTGAAATCGTAAATTCGCAATTCCTATTTTAAGACTGGAATTTATCGCAAAATTTGGAATTACGATTAAAGTATATGGATTTAGCATGATATTTCATAAATTCAAGCCTAACCTTTCCAATACACATTTGCGGCTTTGCTCGCGCTCCGCGCTCGGCTTACCTTGTAATCATTATCACTGTAACACTATAACAAAAATTAAAAATAACTGGAACTGCTAATAAAACAGGATTTCATTGTGTTCCGCTGCATATGTCTGAAAGGCGAAATATATCCAGTAAAACCTCCCTGATACGTTCATTTTTATGTACGTACACTAGAGATGGGCATCTGATCCAAAATTTAAATCCGAATCCGATCCGCGAATTTTTTAAAAAATCCGAATCCGATCCGTATCCGAGTTGTTATTGATTGCAGTTTCCGAATCCGATCCGTATCCGACCATCGGATATCCGAGTCCGATCGGATTTAAATCCGACTTAGTTACAAAAAAAAACTAGTTTTTGATAATAAGCACTATACCCGTCATAGCAATTTTCGCAATAAATAATACTAGTTGGAATAACCGTTTGCGATAACTGCTGGTAAAAAAACCTGAATCTGTAACTTAGAACACTGAGAAAAAAGCGAGTGCACTATCTTTCGGTCAAATCCTTAGTGAAACACCATTGCAAAACAGACAAATCATAACCAAATTGCTCAAAACGGTTTATAAACCTGCTGGTTTTCGACCCTGCGCGTGTGCACTCTTTACAATGGATTCAGCTTTAGCGGTTAAGGAGCGCTAAGAGTATGCATTCGGTTCAGTTGTAACGTGTAACAGGAATTTTAATTTTCCACCGCTTATATTCTTGAACCTCTTCCGGATACGGCGAATGGATTTTTTCTATTTTTTAAAGATGAAAAATGTTTTATTTGCCGTTGCGCAAGCCGGTCGGATTTTCTCGGATATTCTTTCAAAATCCGATCCGTATCCGAATCCGAACTCGTTCGGATATTTATCCGGAAATCCGACCCGAATTTCGGATCGGATCGGATTGGATCGGATATTCCGACCCGATGCCCATCTCTAACGTACACTCTCTGTATTAAGTACACTAAAACGCTAACCAAAATTACTGTACACTGCAAAAAAACACCTCTGAGTTCCGTACACCCTCTACATTACGTACGAAATTTTCTTAACGGAGGTGTACGTATAAGAGAGGTTTCACTGTAGACATACTGCAATTCTTTGTGTGCCGGCAGCTTTGGATCAGATCGAGCAGACGATTAGGCTCAACGCCAGGATGAATCCTCTCAGGCTGCCTGAGCTCTCTACCGGTCGCACAAAAGAGGCTTAACGTTAACCCGATTACACCGCATATGGCCCATGTTTGTGGCTGTACAGCCACAAACATGGCCATACTTGGTGTAAGTGTAATCGATGACACATGTGTTATGCAAGCCGTCTGCATGCTGCCAGTGCCGGCTAGTCGGATGTGCGCGGTGTGGTGGCGCGTGCCAGCCAGACGCCGGAATGCGATGATTCCAGTGGCGTGGATCACTCATTCCTACCATTCCTAGCTTACCTAATTCACTGCTGATTATGCGTGGTCATGTTTGCATGTTCTTGATGAGAACTGTTACCATGGTGCATATATGGAATGTGGCGATGGCTGTTCTCGTAGGCTATCATAGTGAGCATTTACTGTATGCTGTTTGTGTATTCTACAGATACAAATCAGACAAGTATGTTCGTTCGGCCGACTGGAAGGATACGTGATTCCTGTCGGTCATATTTAATCGCTTGTTAATGCTTTACACATTATCATTACATTACACCGAATCTGAAGTTCAGTCTGTTATCCGTTATATCATTAAAACGTTAACCACCAGCCATTGCACAGTGTACGGTTACGAGTCTATCAGTTATCGATGTTAGTTACCCTGGTCAGAATCTTCTCGGTCTTTTCTCGGGCTGGGCGAAGTTCCTCTCGAAATATTGCCGCAATATCCTTCAGCATCATCTTCAATGTGGCATTGGCAATTTGCTGGACCAGGTCATCGTCAATCAGCGGGTCAAAACCCGTTATGTTAGGACAGGACGGGTTTTGGCCCGACAAGGACGCAACAAAACCCGTCGGTATCGAAATTACTCGTATAATGACAAAATATAATACTGTGGTAATGAGCATGGCCATCTTCAGGATTTTAACTCGGTCTGCATCGGCGCCCGACTGACTGACGGAGACGCAGACGGCGTATCCCGGAGAAACACGAGCAACAAACATCACTCCCACATTCTATTCCCTCCTGCGGCTTGTGACAACCAATTAGCAACGAGTGATCAGGCGAGCCGAGAGAGTATTATAAGGATGTCAGTTCTCGGTAGAACGCATATCGTGCATTTAGGCTGGCCTGTCATCACGTACGAAAACGCTGTCTGTGGCATAACAGTGTACTCTGTATGCCTCAATTACTAGTCATCATTAGTGATGGCCGCGTTGCTAATCCAGTTTTCTTCCTCTGCAGTGTCGTGTCAAATCAACTGGAATGGGACCGGATGGATTCCCATTACGACTACCGAGGCAATCTTTGAAGGTCTATAATTCGCCTCTAGACGTTTGCTCAATTAAGACTGAATAACTCAGTCTGTAACACAGTATTATTGAGCAGCGGCAATTATGAATTTGCACATGTGCGATGAAGAACTGTACATGTGCGACATGTACAACAGTACAGTATGAAATTCTTGTGAATTGTACTTTGTACATTTGTACATGTGCGATTTGCACATGTGTATGATGCGATGGATATGTACAACGGCAATGCAAAAATGTTAATGTACAGTACATGTGCAGGGGTAATACGCAATACGTAATAAATTACAAGCCCAGCACAGATGAATAATGTCTTAGGATTTCGAGCATGTAAAAAGGTTAACTGCATTTGTATTAAATAATGGCACGATGTTTATTAAATTAAGGAGGCACGAACAAAATAAAAAGGCATGATAACCTGTTACAGTATTTTTGCTAATTCGCAGTTCGCTAATTTCAATGACAATTCGATATAATAACACAATCATAGTAACAATCTGGGGATTTACAAACAGCCCATGTTAAGCTAATGGCCACCATGGTAACAAGCTTTTGAGTGACCACTGGATTGTGGGTAGTGGGCTTTCCAGAAAATTGATGATGTAGGAACACTCTCGACACTGAGAGGATTCTGTAGCACTTTAGAGCGTGCAGATTGGATGTGTGGAACGGGAGAAAATTAGTTACAACGGCAAATTGTCGTGGACCCTGGTTACGTAGTTAGTATTCATATAACCAGTCTACGGGATCTACATCCGTACACAAACTTTTCGGCGCAAGTTTGTTACGCAATGCACACTTCGCAACGGTTGATCGCATTGGTCCCAGCCGCTAAGAAAACTACGAAAACAAAGAAAGAGAAAATCTAAGAAAACATGAGAAACCCTAAGAAAGCCTAAGAAACCTAAGAAAACTATGAAACCAAAGAAATCTAAGAAACCTAAGAAACCTAGGAAACCTGAGAAACCTAAGAATACCTAAGAATACCTAAGAAACCTGAGAATACCTAAGAAAACCTAAGAAACCTAAGAAACCTAAGAAATATCGTTTATGAAAGAATACGAGGTATACCGATCACGCTGGTGGGATTGACTGCGATTAATTTTTGCACATGTTTCTTAAATTTTCAATATTTTGTAACGTGCCGATGCCGAAGCCCGCGGTCTGTCTCGGTTTTTTTGAACGGTCCGCGAACAGACAATGCTTTTATCATGTATTAATGTGTTGATTAAATAACCGAACGAGTTACCATCACGGTTCTTGACGCTATTTGTTGCTCGTGCATCAGTGTAGTTAGCATTAGTTGCATATCAAAGGTGTAGAAAAAAATTTTAAACTTTTTGATACTAAACCTGTGGCTGTTTATGGCGAACAGCACAAATTCTAGCCATTTTGCTTTCTCGTAGGCACAGCATAGGATCTGTGGCATAACCGTTTGGCTTGCAATCAATGCTTAAGTTTAGTACAGGTTTAGTATCAAAAAGTTTAAAATTTTTTTCTACACCTTTTGATATGCAACTAGTATAGCTGCACCTTGATATTCACGGAGCGCGAGCGTCTGAAAGTAGTGAGTAAGCGTCCAAGTTTTAGTGGTGGCGTGTCGTTGCGAGGTTATTTTGAACCGCGGACCGACTGATCGGTTCAACCTCTTTTTGTCGTACGTTGTATGTCTATGGGGGCCCATGGCAACAATTTGTTTTTTGGGGCTACTCCTTCCCTTTTGGGGCGTATCGATGGCGCAATAGCGTAAGAACATTCGCGCCGTTAAGACGAATTTAACGCACTTGCCCGCGTCGAAATCGGTTCAGCCGTTCGCCCAAACATTGGCTACATTATCAATCGTGTATACGTGGTTACGGATGTAGATAACCAGTTTGCGGAGGACTACATCCGCATCCAGCTTTGTGGCGTTACGGCGCATAATTTTATGAGGTTTGTGGAAAACATTTGCTTTTTTTACGCATCGAGGCCGGTGAGCGAGGTGCGCCCTGTACAGCTTAGGACGCATAATCCCACCCAACAGCATTCCGAACGCATGCGGCGCAGTTGCGCTGTACGACTCAGCTAAAATATCCGGTTTTCGTACAAATGCAC